TGCAAATAGAAGAGAAACCAGTCGCTTTTTAGAATCGATAAACTTACGGCTATTTTTACAGCAGAATTAGTTTGAACGAAATACACTGCTAGAGTCAGTATTTTATATAGTCTTTATCCAAGAAGCCTGACAGGGCTAGTTCCGAAAAATATAGTAGGAAAGTTTTGTTTCACTCGAGCATTCGAAAAGTTCACCTAATTAAATTGCAATCTAGAAAATAGCATCTTGTGATCTTGTCTACGCCGTGGCACGAGGATGATCGTGAGCGAACTAGCAACTCTACATTATTGGCATCTACTGAAGCGATCGCGAGGAGTAAGAGAGCTTGCAGTGCAGTATATAACAAGCTCATTAGAGCGGTTGTTAATCTGATAACAGCGGGGAAATTCAATATCACATAACGCGCGACGTATGCCGTCATAACCGCATAAACTTTACTCTAACGAGTACTTGCACAGCTTTGCTTTCGTAATCTGCGCCACAGTATTGAAATAGCTGCAAAACGGAATGTTTTGCGCGAAACAAAGTCAAATGCTAAGCTCAGGTCGTAAAAAACGTCGGAGAAAAACAGAGGCGAGTCGGCTGGCTGCACGGGAGTTGCAGTAGTCGAAGGGTAAAACTCATCGCGAGAATGTGTACGTGTGTATAGAGCTTGCCGTTGCCGCGACTCGTCGGCGGATTTACGAGTCGAGCAGACTCGAGGGCGTATCCCACGCTTTTCGGCAATTTCGCCGTGGACGTTACGTAAGCGCTTCCCTCTTGCTCGCCCAGCCAGCATCTCTCGCCGGAATGAAATTTGCGTTGACGAGCTGTAGAGCGCTCTCTCGCTCGCTCGCTCGCGACGCGGCCGCGGCTATGGGTTACGTAAAAGTGCCGAGTGGCGCGACGCCCGACCAATCGATATCATCTATTCTCTCTCCGGCTCGCGGCGCGCGCGCCAAAGCAAACGGCCTCTCCGACGCGACGCCTCTTCTAAACGGACAAGCAAGACCGATTCATCCCTTGGGGCCTCGTGCTCTCGAGCTCCATGCAGCTCCTTGCCCGCTATATACACCTTTGCATTCCTTTCTTCAGCTTCTGCTTTCCTCTTAACATGTTCCTTCTTGTAAAACAATTAGAATACACATTTTGCATAATAGTCGTGCTTCTATTGTACTGCAAATCGTCTATAATTCAAAAATATTGCTTTTCCACTTTCCAAATATTTCTTTCATTTAATACAGCTTGATTACATGGATTACAGAGTTATTTATATTTAAAAAATATCGCGAAGTATCCGAACTCAAGAAAAACATCAATTCTCGCATTGCCAAATGCTTAGTTTTCGAGCTCGCACTCGATATGGAAATGAGCCTGGTAGAAAAATGCTCTCATTAAAATCTTATTTAACGCGTTCATTCCGCAGTGCGTTTGCTAATAGCTTATATATATATTTTTCCCGGAATAAGAATATATATATATATACATATATATATATATATATATTCTTATTCCGGGAAAAATAGTTGGAATGAAATAAAAGGCAGCGAGTCTGCTTTCGTTCTCTTCGCTGTTTCCACTGGAATTTGCAATTGCAGAGACTTCTCTTTTTACAGTAACAGTATTGACGGTTTATTTGTTTTTCCAAGAACATTCCAGAGCAGATCTAAATATCGTACTTTTCGAAGGTACGAAAGGTTGGGTATTATCTTCGGAGCGCGCTAATGAGAATAAATAAGCCGGCAAGGTATCGAAGAAGCTGGCGAGAGAGCTATCAGGTTAGGCGTAAAGAATTTGATCCAAAAAAGCCGGGCCCCCGGCAAAACCGGAGACCGAAGAAGAAGCTAAAAAGGAAAAAGGAGGAGCAGTAGAACTTCGTCGCGAGGCTGTCGAGAGCGGGGCTCAGACAATATTTTTAGCGAGTTAAGCAAGTAATAAATTGGATAGGCTGCGCGCGGAGGCTTTCGGTTGTGCAGCCAACGATACGACAGCGCGGTGAGTCGACGCCAGAGATAAAGAAGAAGAAAGACGAAGAAGAGATGCCGCGGCGCGGCGGAGGGACTGGTCTGCTCTGTCGCTGCTGCTGCCTCGCGGTCGACTTAGCGCCCCGTAAGTGAGTCGTGGACCCGAAATAAATGTCTAAGAGACAAGCGGACAAGTACAAATTCGCGCCCTGCGAAATCTCTTTGCTTCTCTTCGGCTGAAGATCGAGTCATTTACCCTCGTTTGTTATAAATGTGTCGTCGTCGGCTCTTTTGCTTTTTTGTCCGCTGCCTCGAGTATCACTTTACCTGGTAAAGCCCTCGGCGGCAGGATTCTTGATATTACTAATTGGCCAGAATGCCAGAATGACGGATTGATATATTCAAACTGAGGCCGTTTGATCGTCAAGAATAAAGGCATATCTTGTTCAACAACTGTAATGTCGTGTTCCGTTTCCTATAAAACGCAAAGAAGAAGAAAACGCGAGAGAGATGACGATCAACTATTCGAATCTCCAGCGGTCGGAATGCATACCATTCCGTGCGAGAACGTAATATTGGAAAAACGAATTTGGATTGCTGCGAGTCAGAGTCGGGGCGAGCTGGGGCGCGCGGCCGAGCAAACAGCCTCGAAAAACGGGAGAGACTTTGCCAAGCAAGACTCGTCGCCCTCCTCCGCTCGATCGCGTATAACACACAAGTCCGACAATGGTTGCCGCCGTAGTCTGGCGCAAGTTGGTGCCTCCGGCTGCTCGGGGTAGCTACATCCAGGCCGGAGTGCTGCCGGCAGCGGCGTCAAGCCAGTCGTCGCGGCGAGCTTGTATTTGGCTAGACTCGGCGGCGCCCGCCCGCCGCCTTTTGGCAGCCGTATCCGTACACAATGCCAGGGTGGGGCGAGGGGCGCAACGGGAGAAGCCACGAAGTGTATTTGTGCGATATGCGCCGGGAAGCGCGTTCGCGATGGAGGAATGCTATACTGTCGCGCGCTGCCGTTCGACCCTTGCAGGCATGCGTCAGGCTAATATGCTTTTGATGCTGCTGCTGCTGCCTCGAATGATTCGTCGCGGGCATGACTCAATGCCACATCCCCGTATCCAAACATTGATTTTTTCGCCTGCTTTCGGCGTCCCGTACGACCGAGTATTTTCAAAGGAGACCTTCGATTAATTCTCGCGTGAGAATGAAAATTATAATGCAGTAGTAGGCTCCTCCGCGCCGCGAAAGTACAGCTTAGAATTCGATACGTTCGATGAAAGTTCGCGCGGTGAAAAGAACCCGAGGAAATCAAGCGAGCGCGCAGAGCTCAAAGACATTCAAGGCGATAGCGAGACAGATCGGCTTTCAGAAAATTGGCCTCTTTGCTGGAATATCTCAGCGGCTTTTTGGCGGTTTAATGGGTCGATTAGTTTGCTCGCCGAGCCGCAGAGGTCCAAGTGTAAGCTACAAAGACGGATCAAAGTGTCGTTCGATGACGAAAGAGGGACGGCCGAATACAGGAAGTGGAAAAAGCCCGAGATCGTACAGGGCGATTCGAGCGCTTGGTTTTCTTAAAGAAGCGACGACGCAATCGCGCGTAAGAGCGTGCGCCGTTATGACAGTCCTCGATCGCCAGTAGAGCGGGGGTCCGGCTGCCGCTGCGGTGCGCTATACTCCACGAGCGTGAATAAGACGAGCCACGAGTGCTCACTCGAGACAGGAATCTTGGCTCCTTTATGGACTCATTACGCGCCGCTCGCCTTAGGCTTTCAGCGCTCGAGCACTTGGCGGCGAGGCCGGCAGCTCGTGCCTCCGCGACCTTGTCCTTTCGAAATTGCCGACTGTCCGTCACTCCCGGTGCTCCGCAGGCCAACCTCACCCTACTCGACACTCTTCCCTTGATGCCGAGAACACTGGCATTTCGGCTCGCATTTTACAGGTCAGCACTCGCGCGCCTCGCGTTCGGATGCTCCTCGCTCCGTTTCCTTCGCGCGCTCGTACATTTGCTTTTAATTTTGCCGACGTTCTCGATCATCTCGTCGCGCCGCTCGGCCCGAACAGGCTGTTGCAGTTCCCTAACGGAAGATTTTCAAAGTCGACCGAGGAGAAGCGAGCTCTGAATTTACTTAGCGCTGACCTATTTCGCATTTGTAGCACTGTCCAGCCTCTAGTAGATCAGCTCTGAAAGCGCCGGCGCGGTCCATTGACGAGAATTATTGTGCGGCAGCTCGCTGCAAAGGACATTCCATGGATCGCGTTGATGCGCTGCCCTTGCGAACTTCAGCCGCGAGTAATATCAATTTACTCGTTACGCAGCTGAAGCGAGTTCACGAGAAATAAACGCCAGGACGAGAAGCAAATGAAATTCCATCGGAATCATAGATTAGGTGGGCTGTCGTCGGTCATAGAAGAGTATGCGAGGCTTGGAGGTGGCTGAAAAGTGGCGGGAGTGCGACACAGCTGGCGCGGGACGCCAGGAGCGCAGGCTCGGGCGCCGGTCCTCGGCGTGTAGCTAGCAGCAGCCACAGCAGTAGCAGCGAGCAGCAGCAGCAGCAGCAGCAGCAGCAGCAGCAGCAGCAGCAGCAGCAACCCCTCCGGGCGTCCGGGGAGGAGGCGTATAGGCTGCGCGCCGCCGGCGGACCGAGCCTCGCGCTCAGTTGTACGCTACCCACCCACGCATGTAGTACGCACGCCAGAGCTCTCGCTACAGCACGTGCTAGGCCATCGCCATCACCACCATCGCCGACGACCATCGCCAGTAGCTCGCGCGCAACGCCGCCGATCAGTGTGCTCCGACCATCCAGGCAAGCTCTCTACTTCTATTTTTCTCTCTTCCTTTTCGGCGCACGACCTATCCATTTTTTTTCTGCGCTTTCCTCTGCGTCCTCTCCATCTTTTCTTCTCTGCCTTGCGTTGCCAGCTGCATTATTTTTCCGCCCTGCGAGGATGCGCGCCTTCGTTACTTAACTCGGCTACCTGCTTCACGTTGCTTTTCGTATCAATTTTCCAGTTTGCAACGTTCACGGAACGAACCTCGTTATGGAAAGATATACCAACGTCGATTTGCATTCCGACTAGTAATATTTACCCGAAATTTAGCTTCTGAAGTTATTGTACATAGATCGTAAATAGCGGCACCGTTGTTTAATTAAGGCGACATCTATGTAAAGTTGAAGCTTCAGATTTGATGAAACTGGCTGAAATTGAAATGGAAATTGCAGCGTAAAGAGGAAGAGGAGGAGAGTCGCAATCTAAGAACGAAGTAGTGTGATGAGTCGGCGAGGAGCCGGCCAAACTGTCGGGCTAAGCTGCAGCGCTGGTAACAACGTAGTGGCACGTCATTCGGCTAACGAGGTCGTACGACGGGCAGATGACATCCCCAGCAGTTGCTGTAAGGCGGTAGCGTGTGCCCAGATACTTCAACAATGCCAAAGTTCAAAATGAAGCTTGGGCAAACAGCAGCAGCAACTGCACTTCCAGCGATCACGACCGATTGCACCACATTGCCCGGCCGAGTCACTAGCAAGTTGTTTCGACATACCTCCTAACCACTTCACTCTCAAATCAGACAATCCATTGCTGCTCGTTCATCTCTTTATTCAACAACGTAAGTTCATTTTTTTTCAATTGCGTTAATCATTCGCGTGAGTAAATAGTTATGTTTCATCGATATATTAAAATAATTATATTCGATAGCAATGCCAAATTATAGTTTTTATTTGTAATTATAACGAACAAAAAGTACAGCCATACGTTTATCTCAATATCTTTACAAGATTTACCAAATTTCGTGATAATTTATACGCTATTAGTCTCAAAATATGGATGTTTAATGTTACATCAAGTGTATTGCTCCTAATAACAACTACGTCATTACAAGTAACGATGATTTTAATCACCGGCGCTTAAAGAATACCGACATGATATAACTTCACACGGCCGTCTGAATTGTTTGAATATCTTGATTAGGCAACTACGTTACTAAACAACTCTAAGATACTGATAATCGATAGCAGCTGCTCACTTTATATTGCGTTGCAATAACGCGCATAACATCGTTAATATATTTTTCTCGATACGCACAAAGTCAACATTTCCGTGAAAACCCCGACTATGTCATTAATTGCAAACTAAGCACGGATTTGGGTCATCAAGCTTGAGACAATATTCGAACAACGCGCAAACCGAAGTTATTAAAACTTCAATGCAAAAGCCTCTTTTTTTCTGCCCTTTTTTCCTATACTTTTTTCTACGTTCATTTCAAAATTACCTTTTCAGTCTCCATCAAGTATTTTTTCGCTATTTTAGTCTCAGATGTCATTCTCACTCTATCGGACAAAAGAAATATCCAGTAGATTGAATTTTTAGTTTTTTGTTTAACTTCTGGTCATCACGAATAGAAGTCAAGTTTTTATATTATTATAGTTGGTTTTGGAATTTGACCTTGAAAATGCTGCTTTTCAAAGGTTTTTAATTCTACGGTGACGCGGTAGATCATTGGTATACGATATATATAGATATAGAGTACACCTATGTATATATATATATATAGAGAGAGAGAGCGAAAAGGGGGGGGGGTACACCGAGTATCTCGAGCAGAAAGTGAGCGGGTGGAAAAAGAGAGATGCAGTTTCGCGCGCGGTCTGCCGCCGCGTTTCCTCGAGAATAATGTCGTGGTTGCAACACACCACGACAGCGGGCTCAGTGCGGTGCTATATAAGTTTTCTGGTTCACGCACACGGAGAAAAATCAAATATAAAGAAGCAATCAACAACGAGATGACAAGAGAAGGTTAGCAAACGAGAGCAGAAGATTGATAAAGAGCCTCGAAACCCTACGTGAGGACGTTCTGAGGCTTTATTATTTAGTATTCCTATGTTCTTACTTGCCATGATTTTATTATTCCGGTTTGGTCTATTACCTTTTCAGGACTTTCTTGCGAAGTAGGACTTATTAAATTTCTAGTTCCAAACAGCATTTGCTTGCATTTTCTACTGCAAGGGCGCACGTGATGCTTCCGATTCTGCGCGAGAATCCATAAAATGGCATTCTCGGGCAAGTTGGTGGGCTAGATTTGAAGGCGCGTAACAGTATCGTTAATCGACAAATTGTGGCACGCAGAAAACGCACTGGCTTGCTCTTTTGTAAGGCAGCGGTAGCCGCGGCTGCGTCTCTTTCCGAAAGAGAGCATTGTCAGCATCGCGAATAGGCGCGCCGAGAGTGAGATCGATGTCTCGCTGGGCGCAACATAAATACGCGTGCCTCGCCGCCACGGGCACTGCTCTGTCGCTTAATGGGGCTGAAGAAATCACTCGCTCGCTCGAAAATCACAGCCAGCCAACTGGGCGAAATCGTCCGGAAAGGGAAAGGAGAAGGCGCGCGAGAGACCTAGGCAAGTCGAGGAAACGACTGTGTAATAATTCAGCCGACAGAGAGAAAGAGAAAGAGAGAGAGAGAGAGAGAGAGCTCTCTTTTATTTTCATTTTATTTCGACCCCAGCGAAAACATAGACTTGTCACAGCCTTCGCTTACTCACTTCGTCCCATTGTCTTTTGTATGGATTCTGCCTGTTCAAAGCCTTTCGTTTGACTCATCTCAAACTTTTCCCAGACTTCGGGCTTTGCTCTGGATTCTTCTCCTCCTTTTCGATTCGGGATGTCGTAAAAAAGCTGTCTCGTCATTTTTTTTATAACAGATGATCGCTTAATTCGACGGAACGCAATCCTTTCGAGTTGCCTATAAATCAAGGATAGTGCCATCGATTGCCCGCATGGTTCTGTAAACACTGTTTTACGTAAATTAGATAAACGTCTTTTTAGCTCCATTCTTTTTCTCTTCCACACCAAGTAGATAGAAATGCCATGAAAGGTCACGCCATTGTGTGCTAATGCGAAAGAAGAATGCGATCGGAGTTGAATACGAGTCATCCATCGAGATGGTAAGAGCAAAGAAAACGGGAAGCATAGATGCGACAGCTCAGTTGTCAAAGGGTGAGCCGTCATTTCCCGATCGAGTATCGTTCGACGCGTGCAGCTCGTGCAGATTACAAGGCCCACGAGATCACTCGAAAAACGACCTTGCTTCTCAAGCTTTGTCCAAACTCGAATGAGCTATATCAGTGATGCGCACTTGCTTGAATCGTATCTTCATTCGCGGATATTCAACTGAGTCCATCACCTTTCAAGCGTTTTAGCACGTAGTATGAACATTGTTGCCGTATCCGTGAAAGGACTCCACCGTACAAACTAAGCACTGGCTCATTCGGAAATGCTTCGTACTCGTATATTTTAAAGTCGCCCATTGTAACTAAAGCAAACGCACGCTGTGCCGAGATATATGCGTATTGGTTTAATCAATAATTTCGACTTGCTATCCACTGCCCAGTGTGCTATTGGCTTTGCAAAGTGCCGTCTAGCCATAACCATTTAATATTTCCCGAAATCTGTAGATTACTTTATGAACGACGCTTTCATGTTATTAATACAATCGCGTCATAAAGCTTTCTCCTTACTTACTCGCGGCATCATGATAATTACGTTTTATCGGCGAAAACTATGTTGCTGCGTAAAATCAATTTACGGAACAATAAACTTCGCTAGTAACGGCGCTATTCACACCTTTTATTCATCGTAAAGGAAGAAATGACGAAAGCATATCGACGAGTTATTAGAATGTGTAGTCAAAATTTGATCGAAAAACCGAAAGTGTTCCATAAATCGAACATAGAACTGGATGGAGGGAAAAAGCCCGATTACACGAGATGAGAGGTAACTTATTCAGGGCCATCGTGATATCGCAGAGCGCAAAAAAGGAAGCCGCGGGTCCAGCGTTTTTATCGCAGGGTGCCACGTCGCCATTAATCAAATTCGAGGGTGCACATGGAAAATTTTGTTCGCAAACTCATTGAACATTTTGACGAGAACGCCAGTCGACTGTCGATGATATCTGCTGTTGGCGCGCATGGCTTTGTATATACGTTGACGCACGGGCGCCAGTATGCTAGCGCCAGTGCATCACGCATGAGCGATCATAAGGTCGGAATAAATTCGACAGACACGAGCCATTGATTTACGCATACAGTTTGATTTATGATTTGCTATTCGAAGCCAGTAGTAGCAGCGGGAAGATCGCTCTTTCGCGTTTTGTCCCCGTGCGCCAAAGATTTACGAGAGCTAGCTGACCACTCCGGCAACTTTTATTTTTACGAGCTTTGCTTGTCGAATACTCGCGCCGCAAACTTCAAGATTTCACATGAAGCTGCAAAAATTTTATCACAAAATCTGCCATTACAGACTTTATATACCTACTGTAGTGCTTACCGTTTTGGTTTTTATTGTCGCGAGCAAAGCAACGTTATAACCTACTTGCGAAATTCCATCAGCGAAAAGCGCTAAACAAACATTTACTATTGACATATTTGATGTGTGTTCGTAAGCTTTGGGTACTTTTTTCATAGATAAATTATAATGCTTCGAATTAAGGATAAACGCAACTCATTCGCATTCATAATTTTCTGATCTACATTGAATTTCTGCATGCCTCTGGCAAATGCACAGTCCATGGAAATAGTGCGCACCGTAATCCAGGAAAAATGCCTCTATTTAGCAAAGACGAATTTAGAATTTCAAATTATCTGAATTATCTGAACACTGAAGGGTTGCTTGCTTGCTTGCTTGTGTTCATTTGGTTTTATCAATGTCTCACGTAAGAAATTGGGAAATTCGTTTATAGGGCGCGATAAACAAAAAAATTTCATAAGATTATGATAATCATTGGAAATATCTTTGTTAACGAGAGAGAGAGATACGCTAATGGAAAAATCTTATGGGCACAAAAAAACTCAACCGCACAATATTCAATAAATCTTTAAAACGGATTATACGAAATAAAGCACAGCGAGTTAGCGTATAGAGGTAGAGAGTACGACTTAGTCTATTCGACTTGTTCGGTTCTTATCGAATGCATAACAAATTCTTTTTAATGCTTCGGTTCTTCCCTATTCCTCGTTCTCTTTGCTTTTATCGACCGTCAGCAGCAGCTCAGACGGCCAAAGGAACCAATAGAAATGTCGCTCTGAAATAGAGATTAGAGATTTCAAAGAATCCCACCAACCAGGCTTGCGCAGCAATATCACACGAGGTTCTGCATATACATAGGAAGAGAGAAACAGAGAAGGCAAGGGAGGAATCACTTGCACTATTTATCAGTCAATATTCAATATCACTTCGGCAGTTCGTCTATCAAGCACCGCCCCAGGTGTATGTAAATACCCTTTGAGGAAAGGTATAAGAGTTCTCAGGGAAAAAAGAAGAAACATCGATTTCGTATTACAACTGTGAGAGCTTACCGTCGCAATATTTACTAGGATGCAAAGAGAGGAAAAAGGTACGCGCTACTACGTAAAATGCTCAGTTGGTAATTTGGCGTTAATGCGCTGATGGACGAACGGCTTAATAAATATCGCAAGATAGCTCGGCTTCTAGCTCCACTACATATTTAATAATTTCAATTTCATATTTAATTTTTAATTTTAGATTTGCATATTTAATCGTTTAAGCTCTAGCAGGTAAAGATGATCTCTTAAGTCGGATTGTACGCGCACGAAATAATATCTATCTAATTATTCGATTAGCTCAGCACGATAAATTAGATTAGGGAAATCGAAATTGAAAACAATAAAAGAAAAGAAACGTTTATTTGATAAGCAATTTTCGCGTGTTTTATCATGGTTCTAGGCTTGAGTCGACGATCCTGTCGGTCGAGAAAAAAAGCAGGAGCCGTTGGTGGAGGGAAGTCAGAGAGAATTAATTAAATTTGCCGAGAGCAATAGAGAAAGAGAAAGCCAAGTACAAGAAAGAGGAGATGCGGGGATAGGAAGAGAGGAGGGAATTTAATGCGAGTCAGTCGAAAACAATAAATTGATTTAACTTGTGCGATATACATGAAAAAGAGGTCGGGGGAGGAGAGAGGTAAAAGGTGGCGACACGCCACTACTAAGGTCTCTGATATTGTTCAATCTGGAGCTCCCTTGGGCGCAGGAGCGAGCGAGCGTTGATCTGTTTTCTTTTTTATTTCTCCCTTTCTCCTCTGCGCTTCTGCGCCTCAGCTGCTGGTTTTCCCTTTGGTCGAGCTTGCGCGCTGAACGTACGCAGCACCAGCGGAACTGATTAGGTTAACAGCTCGACAACAGGTGTTAAGCTTAAACGTCGGGAATCTCTGCTGCGCGCTTACTCGGTTAATGAAGTTGGCAATCATCCCTCTCTCCATTTATTAAGCATCTCATTTTCATACAAATGCCTGGCCGTCTGCTTGCGGCACTTTTGTTTTATTTATTTAACTAATGGAATCAGCGAATTCTTATGCTTTTCTCTCAGATTTTTCATGCCGAAAGCAGCCATTAGCAACAGCCTTTGACAATGTTTAACGACCTTATCGACCTTTTGTTCGGGCTACACAGACCATGTTGTAGTATGCTAATAATGTCGGCTGTATAATAAAGCTGTATCTGCGTAGACTCATCAGTCATACGTAATTGTGCTTTGAAAGTACAAGGTTAAATTCTTAAAAATGCATGTTATTTTTTGCTTATTTAATGTTTCCTTACCGCGTAACTAGTTCAGTTTTTGAACAATTGACATCAACTTATGCATACAATTATATCATACTGCATATTACATCAGTCAAAATCGTATAGTTTGGGTAACACTTTTAAATATAACGTGCGTCCTTGTATTTGCTTGAATAACTATATGAAAGCTATAGATATGCAAATGGAAACTGGTATAGAATAAGCGTTCGCGAGCGAGGGTTACGCAAATAGTTTATTAATAACCAAGAAGAAATAATGTAGTTAGAGGTTAGTAAACTTTTTTTTCGTGCAAAGAGTTTCATGGCGTAACTGCTAAATAATGAGAGCTAGCAAATGCAGACGCGCGATCTTGGTTTCTTAATAGTCACTTGACATCCTCGCCAACGGATGTCGCTTCCTTATATACTGGTTTAATCCTGCATCCCAACTCCTGCCAATCAAAGCTCTTTAACTAAGCTCTTCTCCTTCCAGAAATAACGACGTTTACTTATAGGAGGAATTCACTTGGGAATATTTCCAGATCGGGTGCATACTCTTTCTTCAGTTGGCTTGTTTCATTCATAGAGATAATAAAAATAATCGGAAATAGAAGGTATATTTTTTGAAGCATTGAAAAAAGAACTAAGATAACGTTAATACGAATTAATGCATAAGTTTTCTATTAAGGGAAGTTTCTAATGAAATCAAAGTAGTTTTTCTCATTGAGTTTTGGACTGATTAGTTGAAAATTTATTTACGCACTCTTTGTGTAATTGTGAAGAGGTAAATAGTACGATTTTTCCGAAATTCCAAAGAAATTTTTTAAAATTTTCTATCTGGTGGGAACATTATTGAATAATTTCTTTTGATTTATTTTCTTTGAGATTCGATTTTTAAGGGGAATGATACAATACCGAAAAATGTGAAAAAATCAGCAGTCTAGTTCTTTTAGTTTCCAATCACCCTACCCTGTCTTAAGATTTTTCAAAGTGATATATCTACTCACGGAAAATGATACTGTGTTTTATGGAAAGAAAACAAAAAATTATGTTAAGCCTTTTGCAAAAATAAGTCTTTTAAAATTTGGTGTTCACGAACATAAAATACTTGTAAGAGATCCCTAAAACACACCCCTATACTGTTGACATGAGTGATATCTCTAAAATACCGATTCTTTTTATATCGCTTAACAGCCGATTTTTTATAGAACCGACATATATCAAAAGCTATATATATTTTGTGGATTTTTATTCCAAATTTTGAATCGCACAGATGCGCTGAGAAAACTAAATCAAGGCATGAAAAACCTCTGCGCTTCTAAAGGGTTCAAAGCTTTACCAAGTTAGTAATTTCGAGCAGAAAATAAATTAAAACATAATTTTTGGCATATTTTTATCCGAGGCATTCGAGTATGAGCTTACATATAGAAAATCATGATTTTCTTTTGAGATGTTGGCCACAGCATTTTTACGTGATTACAACACTTGCACGAATAAAATGTACCTGTTGCAAAAAATTAGGGAATCCAAAAGAGTATTGTAAATATTTGAATACTCCATAGAACCACGAACTCTTATCGTTGAGATAGTATAGGCAGTTTGAGCATGGAAGCAAAGGTGCTGAATGATGATACTTTTTGTGCGAAATTTTACATAAAAGTACACTTCTTAGACTAAAAGCTCTTTGCGCGTGTATTGAGTTTCGTTGATTTGCGAAGCGACATCTATTGGGATTCCATCCGCGTGGCTCGCAATATAGATTCAATTTCGAAGCGAGAGTGTATATTGCGATAAGGCAAAACAATCGCGGATGAATCAAGAGGAGTCGTAATCGAGAAATAAAAATAAATAAAACATAAATAAAAGTGTGTGAGGCAGAGAGAGTGAAAGAGAACAATATATAGAAAAGCAACAGTCAAGAGTTGAATAGGCACGAGATGCGCGCGAGCTGATCAATACACAGGCGTGCTTGGGCGACAAGGACAAATTTCAGGATCGCGCGTAAAGTGCATAGCCCAGTCGCGTCGGACGAAAACCAGCCAGAGATAAAGTTACATCCAACCAAAGACTGCCGGATAAGCGAAAGAAAGTTACTCGCTGTTTATCGACGCGCCTCCCTTGTGTGCTTATTCGGCGGTGACCGATTCTCTCTCTCTCTATAAATACCAATAACTCACATGTCCATTGCTCAGCTGCGATAGAGAGAGAGAGAGAGAGAGAGAAGTAGAGATTTACTCAATTCCCGAACTAAATACATATATACGCGGACGTGCTTGCCGATTATTGATTAATTCGGTTACATCGATTTTGCCTTAACTCAACGCCGCTAATAATCGACTAGTATTCTCTGAACTAGAACCCACATAAATTTGCCTACGATGCATCACGTCTATGCACTAATATAATCCAACGAGCCTACATATCCAAGCAGTCCCTTTTTTCAAGTCATGAAACTATAGTTTTTTCGGAAGCAAACAATTGCGCTGGTGTTATTTTTTAAATGAAAAGCAGTTTTCGTGATACGCAGAGTGCATACTTTATTTTCTGCAATATTTTATGTTTCAGGGCTCAACAACATGTCTGGAGCGAGTCTACGTGCTGCTGACACAAGTCCCACGCGTCAGCCAAGGTAAAATCTCGCTATAATTTTATTTGTCTCTGCGTTGACAAGTAAATTTACCGTGCTGTAAAATTCTGCTATGAGTTTCGAATTTCATTCACTATCTATTTACTGATTATGCTCGTATTCCATAGTGCAACGAGTAAACTTTCATTAAACGCTTAGTCTCTAATTAAATTTAATCTGAAATTTTCGTTTCGCTTTATTTGCAGCGTTTATATGCTTTCAAAAGTTAGACTAAGTAATTAGGTTTTGAAGATTAATAATAAGGGAAATCCGAGCAAGACGGAGACCCTCTAAGAAAATACAATTTAAACGAAAATAAGTAAATGGTCATTTTTTAAATAAAATAAAAATAAAAATAAATAAATAGATCGTAATTTTTGTTTTTAAAAAATTTTTTAAAAGTTGTTTTTATATTTTTTTCAGACTATTGTCCGCAGTTCAATTTCCTCTTATATTTTTAGACCGTCTTAATTAATCATCGCTGAAAAACAAATTATTTATCGAAATTACGTATGAAACAACTGAAAATTCAAGAATAATAAACATTTAGAAAAATTTCGATTTTAGGAGGTGTCTGTCTTGCTACGTGCATGCAGAATGAATAATGTTATAAGTAATGTAAAAAAGAAAGAATCACAATTTGAGATAACGGATGTGTTAAATATAAGTTTTTACTGTAATCCTATACTATTTTTAACGTGTTAAAATATTAGACCGAAATAATAATACGATTTCATATATACCAAAAATTGTAATGTTTGACGGCAAAAATTAACAATATTGTTTAGACTCAATGTTATCATCGCGAACACCGCGCACATACTGAAACTCTGATCATTATAATATAAAGAATATATCTGTAAATTATAATAATATTTGCTATAACGAATACCAAAATAATAGATTATGTTCTTCTTGCCCGGGTCTCCCCTAAGTTTTCTTCTAGCATGATATTTTTATTTTAATTTCTTGAATGTCATAAGTCTTTGTAGTCAGCATATAGTTACGCTTTGATGTAATTATAATGAAATATAATATATCGTACATTTAATGGCATCGGCACATAATTAATTTATTAATGTCTGATGAAAGTTACACCCCACATACAGCATTCACTAAATAAATTAAGTAAATATTATTTGGCATTTACAAAAATCTTCTTTACAAAATTCTAATATTTGTTTCTTATAATTTTCTGTCATCAATATTTTGTTCAAGCAAGTAATAATTATTTTGAAGAGTTTTTAAGTCGTACCATATACTCAAGAAAGCAATCGACTAACTTATTATCTTATTACATTTATCAGTAAGGTTGTCCGTCGTCACACGTCAATTCGTTAGTTTGTAAATGTGTGTAAGAGAGTGATTAGGGCGCCTCGTGGTGGCAGCACATGCCGGACGCGGCTAATTGCTCGCTCGCCACGCGGTTGCCAGGCAGTGTCTACTAAGACTGTTCCGGCTTCCAGTCGTCGTATTGCGTGTTAGTGTCAGTTCAGTATAATTTTTTAACCACCCGAGGCATGATAGCTCAGTATTTCCATGATAAAACAAAGGTGATCTTGTCTACCGCTTTGAAAGCGCATCACAATGTAAATTCACAAAGTCAAATGAATTTTAAGAAGTTTTTCAAGTAATCAAATAAAAATTGTTTCTCCTTGGAATTGATTTATTAATTTGAAAAATTGACCAACGTTTCGGTGTAAAGCAAGACTATATATATTCAGTTAACACTGAACGATACATCTGCTGACTTTCGTTAGAAATTGTTCGATTTACATTGTTCTATTTTGTGTATTTATTTCGTCTCAATTTTCTTTACAAGAAAGGATCTCAAGGGGAAAAAATTCCATTTGATTAGCCGAAAAAACCCCTCAAATTGAAACAAGACTGTGAGCCACTTGAAACGTAGCGTTATCAAACGAAGTCAAGTGGATTGTTACGTCACGTCAGGGTGGGGAGATGAGAAGGCTTTTTTTATTATTTTGTACGGCCGGTGTTCTCCGTTGGGTCATCAATGTTCGCACGCCGAGCCAGTCTGAGCCTGTTCTTTTCTATTTGAGGAGCGGCGCAAGGCTATTGGCGAAGCCGAGAGCAGCAACGGAGAGCGAAGAACGAAGAGGGAGGTAGATAGAGAGAAACGCGACTTGCGCACGCAACCGATCGTGAGGGGATCGGCACTTGGAAGCCAATATCTACTTCGGTAGTCGAAGACACGCGCACCCGTTTTTCTCGCAGTTTTCCAAGGGTTTTTTTGTTTGGTACGCCCTCGCCGACGACTTTGCTTCGCGAATGTACGCCCGGTATGCGGGGCACACGTGAGCTTCTTTTGTAGTGGTGTGTTGTGGTTGGGTCGCGCCCAGCCAGCGTCTATCCCCAAGGCTGGTGCATGTGGAGAGTCGTCGATATGCGCGTGAACGGCGCGAGCGCGGCTATTTTACGCGGCGAGCATCGGCGAGTCTTGGAGGCAAGCGAACGGCACCGATGAGTTTTGTAGGTGAAGGAGGCGAACGAGCAGGAGGGACAAGCAAGAGGCGAGCGAGCAGCAATAAGCTGCGTGACCAGCAGAGGTAGTCCCGGGCTAAGTCTCTTGCATGTTCAGGCTGCATTCCGCTACGCATGTGGCTGGCTAGGCACTATTGACAGCCCCGCCGGGTTGGGTTCGATAATAATTGTTCGGCGCGAGCTATTGGGAAATCAGTAGAGGATTTGCCGGCAATATTGCCGTGTAAATAATTTTGTTACATAACTTCTTCCGAATCTTGAATTTAGTTTCGCGTGCAATTAGTGCGTACATCCGGCCCACTATCCAGTCGTTAGAACATTCGGGCCTCCTGAATTCCTCCTTTAAATAATTTGTGCGAATGATCGCGGGCAGCCTCATCGGGGTCGATCGGATTATTCTTTTACAATTTCGTTGCAAATAAATAGATATCTAAATATTTTTCGTTGATCGCGCTGCTAGTAAAATGAATAGTCAATAACGTTGTGCCTTTCAAATCCAGATAAAAGAGGAATGTTTGCAAAAAAATACTGTCATAAGCATCCGCAAGGCAGAGAAAAACGTCGAGCAGATCTTGCGTATAAAAATCGGCTTTACGGGAATTGACGTGGATCGTTAGGAGCTCGTCAAAGCGAAAAATCTAGGCATCATCGAAAATGTATTGACTAGCCGATAAAAGTAAGCCAGCCAGCGCGCGCATAAAGGAGGGAAGCTTGAATGAATCGTCGGCCCGAGAAATTGTCGAGAGAGAGAGAGAGAGAGAGAGAGAGTGTCGGATTGATGGAGGGACTACTAAACCCTCTTTTCTTTTTCCATCGAGGCCCCGCGCATCGTGCTTCGTCGCCGTTCTTTCCCTATCGTACATGTGCACCAGTATCTGAGCAGACGAAAAGCTTTTACAGCGGATCGGCAGCGTCGGGCAGTGGTCCATGATATTGGCAACTCGTTAGGTGAGGGGAGACAAGAGAGGGCCCCAATCGATATAGGCCAAGCAATGGAATTTCGTACTATGGTATTGTCGGACTTTTCAGCCTCTCGACGCCTTGTCAGTGTATGTATAAAGACGGTAAAAGTTGCAAAAGTCCTTTTTAGACTTGCGACTCGTATATATACGTTTACGCGTCACGCTCGTCTCGCCAATTAGGTTGCCACATCCAAGAATTTGTATTCTTTATATGTACCTACAGTAAAAGGCTTCACATGATAAAAGAGGCGCGATCTTATTTGACTTTTTTTTCTATCTTACAGGCAAAACAGAACCTACAGTCTGGGACTGCCGGCTCGGACGTCCTTTTTTTCCGAATCACTGCTTGCCGACGGTGGCCTTGCGCCGCCTCCCCTGCCAAGAAGAAATTCTGCTGCGGTAAAATTTCATAAACTTTTTTCATTTATCGATCACATTCTACTTCAGCTATGGACTAATTTTATTTGTGGCATTCATTATTCTCGCGATATGTCTGCCATTGACACGTTACATCGACCAATGACTTTGCCTATACAGATTTATCTTCATAACCTCCGAACTTTTATTATTTATTGCATGATTTTTTCTTCAAATTATTTATGTGATATAAAACTTTGATACTTTATCAGTAGAGCGACTAAAACACATTATTCGTTTTCCAGCGAAAAGCAGGAAATAACTGATTCATTATATATATTATTTTCTCTGACTTACTATAATTCAATTTGACTGTAGATCAAGATAAATCAATTACGTTTTTGCAACAAACACAATCAAATACACTCAGCGCACAACGGGATATGTTTATTTTTACAGATCACATAAAATATACGAACACTACACAGCACGCACACTAGTAAACTTGACTCAATCGATCGATACAACCAGTAGTCTTTTCACTCGTCGCGATCACCTGCAACACACATACAACGCAAATCGACATAAACAACTTGCGAGCAAATATGGAAACGGCCGAAAGATATTCAGGTAGATGTCGTCGAAATGGGATTATCGACTGAATAAGCTGCAGCGCATGATTAGCTTAACGAAGCGAAGCAGATCAGTGTGGGGATGTCGGTATATAGAAAACTACGTTAACTCAAAACATCGATGCGATGATTTTGTTTTAATCGATCTCCACTACAAGTTGGAACGAGTTCAAGTGGCTATTGGCCACAGCTGTCGCGCGCGTGCAACGCATCGGTTTGCTTCGCTCGACCGTACGTGCCGAGTGCATAAATCAAGCCCAGCGTCTCTGTCCGCGTGCACTAACTGTCGCGCAAGCGTAAACAGAGGTATTGTTATGTGCTCGTAGCCGGCGGTGGTGAAACCACCGATTCCAAAGCGGAGCAGGTACGAGAGGCCCATCCCTGTGTGCGTGGCTGGCAGTCAGGCCCAAGAGCCGTCGTCGAAGCAGCCGAGCCGGAAGCCGCCGCAGCAACAGAGCAACAGCGAGGCGGGTGCTCGGCGAGCCTGGCAACAGGAGATTATGGGCTCGGCGTTCGCGGACTTCGAGGCGAACGAGGCGGCGTTCGCTACCCAGCAGCCGGCGCTCCGCGACCGTGACAGCGCTGCCCTCGACCAGGCCTCGCGCGACCTCGGCAAGAGCCTGCAGAAGGTCACCAGCCAGGCCGCCAAATCCTCCAGTCCCGGGCGCAGCAGAAAACACCTGCAGCCGACATTGAGAGTCAATAGGTTCGTAGTGATTTCGTAGCCCTTTGCTGTCTGCTACCTTGAACCTTTCAAGCGATATCGCCTTCCTCGAGTTGATTCCTCAAAAGTTTCTCGAAGCTCTGTGCAGTCAAGACTCTCTATAAGTAAGCAGTGTAATTATTATTAGATTGGCCCTGGGCAGAAGAAGAGCAAAAAAGCCAGAGGAGAGTGAGAGAGACATAACAGTGAAGGGCGGTAATACGTATCGCTGGGATGACTGATGGAGGATTGCTTCCAAGAAATGAAAGTCGCGTCGTATTCGTCGACTTTTCTAGTTCCTTACTGTAGCTGCCTAATCTTGAAATGCGCGAGACAGGCACTGCCTTTTCCGCGTATATAAGATATCTGCGCGCTTGGAGCATTAGCCGAATAACTCGTGTAATCGCTTTGTACGCTCATTTTCGTAATATCTCCATCTGTCCATTTGCACTCTACTCGGAGAGCTTCGAAAGGTACTCGAACGCATGATATACTTTACCTTCAACCGTTCAATGTTACGCGCTTACGAAACAATGCTCATCTCATTAATTCTTTCAACGGTTCTTCATTACTTTGGTTATTTGCAGTCTTAATTCAAACGTATAACCTTTGATCTATTGGATTTTTGTTGTTGGCCACGATTCAATTGGAATTTTCTTTTACCTTAGTCAAACAGTTAGTAGAAAAGTAACGCGTTCGTAAGGCGGCTTTTCCCTTGATTGATGATGAAATAACCTCTCTGTTCTTATTTTCCTCATCCCAAGTTCCTCGATGAACTTGAAAACGATTATCAATCGAATTTGAAAGTTGAGAAGTTTTAAAAATAAATCAGAATGTTAGGAAAAGTACGTGGCAATCAAAAAGATATTATCGCAGCACTGGCAGTCATAACTTTTGAAAAATTGTGACGTGAAGTTTTGATGGAGGCTTTGGAAACTCGGCTGTTATAGATTGTCGAGGAGTGGCCAGCAGCGATCTCCGTCGCGCAGGTGCCAACAGTTACAGCAGCAGCCAAGATCAACCGAAGACGAAGATGACGAGGACGACGAAGACTTGCCAATCAGTCAATCGAGCAATAAGTTCGCCGAGATGCAAGCGGCTTCCAGGCGACTCGAAAGGCAATTGCCGGAACTCGATCACCGTTTTCACGAGACTGTCCTGTCACGCCAAGAGGTTCGTTATATTTCCGGTTGACATATACATATACGAGTAGTATACCTATACATATACACTCGCGCGACCTTCTCTAATGATTATAAGCTTGCTAAGTACCGAAAAGGACGATCAACTTTTAATTGAAAGCGATTTATCAAGACATTTCATCGGTACAAAGCTACTTTCATTTGCGCCTGACATTTACTCATGATAATATTATGATTCTTTTTCTCTATTGAAAGAGAGATATTTGCAGTCATATCGCAATCTATATTAGTCAGTTACGAGTAAATTATCCACATTAATTAGAACTGATTCAGATCAATAAGAATTTCCTCCGAACTACACGGTGTGCTTACACTGGCAATATTTAAATTATTTCAATCATTCGCTTCACCTTTGAACTGCATATATTTTGGAGTCTTACGGTGAATTCATTTTTACATCAAATTACCAAAAGCTTTTGAATAGTTAAAATGAGGATTTAAAATTTTGCCATAGAAGTACTCGAACGAGATCATTAAATAAATTATGAAATAAATTAAAAATATAAGAAAGGAAACTACGCCTCTATCGCGGTCACTTCTGAAAAATTCCAAGTTCAAAAACATGGAAAACAACCAATCTCGAGGCAGAAAACGTAGTTGTCATTTGAAAAATAGAAAATTCTTGCATTTTAGAACATTTTCGTTTCATTAATAGATTGTCAATTTTTCAAAGAGCAAATGATCATGCATCAAACATTGGTTATAATAAAATGTGAAAATTAGTATGCGTCAAAACGTTTCTAGACTCAGGGTTCGAGCAAGCGTGAAAGTAGTAACACGGAAAAGCTGGAGAAGCTTCCGAAAGCGACGCAGACGAATCTGCCGCCGCCGCTGAGTTCCATTTGTCAAAGTTCGATACCAAACAAACCCGTCAATTCACGGCAGGACAGCAACGTCTCTTCCGACAGTTTCAGCCAGACAAGCTCACCAAGTTACACCAGCAAGACAATGGAGGCTCCTCTGCTTCCCCATAAGCACTCTTCTAATGGCAAAGTTCCAGGTCAGTTCTTCTAAGCTTATATAACTCGTTTCTCGAGTTCAGCTATTTTTTGGTAGCTGTACATTTTTGACAACAATGATGACAAATAATGCCGATTCTTTACGAAAGTCAAAAAGTAGTAGGTACGGCTGACCAAACATCGATAGTACTACTTGCAGACGTATTAGTGAGAAAACCACGAGTCGAATGATTGGTTGTTTTAAACGTAATACTCCAACGATGGAGTTCATTTAGAATAACAATGTCAGAAGAATGGATATGAAACTTACTGTTATAGGTAGAGCGCTGGCGCCTGATCCCGAAAATCCACCGGGAAGTCCAATCACTAAGTCCATGAGCACGCCTGCGAGCCTGCAGACCATCGTCAGGTGTCCAAACGGAAGCAACATGTCGTTACATCATCGAGTAAGTACCCCAAGCTTATAAACTTGAAACGTTCAACTTAAGTTGGCGCCTGTGGAGTTTACAAGCTGGAAAGCTCAGCTCGAAACCTTACGAGTCGCCGTCGCTACTGCAATCACGAGAGGAGGAGGAGGAGGAGGAGGAGGAGGAGGACAAGCGGCCGCGCTGGTAATTGCGTGGCAGGAGAGCTGAAACCCCCGACGTTATATTTGATCAAAGCTCGCGTACGCACGCTCAACAAATGTCAATCGTCGCTCGATTTCCCAGCCCATTTAAATCCCGCCAGATGGCTTCCGCGAGGCTTCTCCTGTCTCCAACCTAGCAACATTTCAAATTAATCCCCAGCTCACTGTACTGTCATAGCCCTTGTCTCAATTCGTGCGGCTTTTCTCAGCAGCAGCTTCAACAAACTTTCGCTTAATGACTGCAGAACCCTTTGAAATACATTACATTCGCTATCACACTATAAACATCAATTTTCCTCCTTTTAATGAATTTGCGCAACAGAATTTCAAACTTTGGATCAATAACCAATGAAACTGTACGCAGTATCAAATTTCCTCAGCAACAATTTTTCTACTTTTTCAGCATAAACGTGAATTTAATACGAACTTGCAATTTATGTAGTCGACATTTCCAGTATATAAACCAGTTATTCGCATAATTCGTGGGACTTCCTCTCAACCACGTTCAATCCATATAATTTTAACGATCAAAATCAATAAGGTTGTGCCAATTGAAATGTAAATTATTTTTGACTATTTGATTAAAAAGCTGGAATTCGATTGTAATATTCGTGTTATCTTGATTAACAGACACGTAAGAAGCGTCGATAATTGTACGAAAATTAACTCGGTAAATAGGGAAATCCATTGATAAGGTCCGTACATAGAAATTGGAAATGTGTACTATTGGAGAATTGGTATGCAGATAGGAATTTGATTTCCGTTAATTAAGGATGTCCTTAATCTTGCTTTTATAGATCATGAGGCGACCGAGCAGTCACTACGTGACTAGAGGAAGGCTCCGTTTTCGATTTGCTCAGGTTTTGGTCAATGTTGTTGCACTGATGGCTATAGCTGGCGGTTTAGCAGCCTACTTTAAATGTAAGAACATTCTTTTCCAATTCATATTTTTTTCAATTTTGAATGTACATTATAAAATGCTCGTTGTTTTATCCAATTGCAGCAGATATTTGTACCAATAATACTTTATTGCTATAAACATCACACGAATCACATCGACAAATATCTCATAAGTTCTCATAATTTAAGTTCGTTCGTATGACAGATGAAGCTTTTTCAGTGAAGGACCTGTACTTAACACGAATCCGGTTTTTTACTGATTATATCCCTAGTTAATTAATCGTTCTTATCTACATTGCTATCGTTTGATCATCCAGTTTAATCAATATCTCTTTCACATTAATTTTTGTAAGTAAATCTAAATGTATCAAATTTCCTTGTCATTTCATTATCATGATTAAGTCACGTATTTTACAAATAGTTAATTTATTGATGTGATGCCTTCCACTGACACATTGTGAATGAACCATATTGGTAATATTGGGCTCTGGTTAGATCAACGAAATGGCTTTTATTATTTTTTTTTTTTTGAGTATGAACGTATATTCGAAGGAATTTTCACATGACTACGCGTTCAAAAGCCTGGACTTTATTTTAAAGGAACAAGTAGAGTAGTGCTTCTTCCAAATAAACAGAACGATCCTTGTCAAAACTAACTCTTGACAAGTGCATCTCAGAAAGCATCGCGAAAGAAAGTAAAGAATATTTAAGTTCGAGACAAAACTGAAACATTGAAAATTATGAAAATGCTTTAACGAAAATCCCAACACTCGCCTATCATTGTGAGATTAACATGAAAGTGAATAATCGTTGCAATTGTTTGTTTGAGAAATAAATACAAAAAAATTCAAGCACTTTTGATGCGTGGTTTCACTTCTATTTGCAAAGAAAGTGTTTTATTTTTATTTTGGCAAGATAGAAGTGAAGTATCAGAAAGAGTGATAGCATGGTGATGAAATTAGGGTGGGAAATGATGAAAAGTGGAGTTGGTAAACAAAAACGAGGAGAGTAGGCAAATGTAATTAGGCGATAGCACAAAGTAAAAGAGTAGAATTGCAAGAGAGAGAGAAAGAGAGACAGAGAAAGAGAGACAGAGAGAGAGAGAGAGAGAGAGAGAGAGAGAGAGAGAGAGAGAGAAGGGTACCTAGTGGGGATTCGTGTTCCCCTGTGATTCGTTTAATCACTGAAAATCTCATTTGGGCGTTCTTTCCCTCTCGCTCGTGCAGCAGTGTGTATGTTCGGATGGTCAGGCGCGCGAGTACGAAAGGCGAGTCGAAATAATTTACGCTGCCGGGAGAGGTAGCTATACATATAGGTATATAGGTATAGGCTCGTGGTGTTTATGCACGCGCATGCTGCTCCCTCTCGCCTCTCTACGTCTACTACGCTGGGCCATCGAGAGCTGCGTTTTCGTTTGAATTATGGACCAAGAAAAAGCGCTGCCTATATTAAGTCCTGAGCTCCGCTGTCGCTAGCCGTTGATACTTTCTCTCTATGCTTTGCAAATTGACGAATTTTGATGCGCTGAATTCGAATCCGGGCTCAGAATTTTCCCTATGCGCCATGTTTCCAAGATATCCTAATCTAAAAGTGCAAAAAATACCGTTTTTTGCTATTTTTGAGGTTACATAGCATCTTGAATAAATTTTTTTTCAAAAAGGCGCCAGAGCATCATAAAGGAGCAGTATTTCCCTTTGAAATCCATTTTTCAGATTCAAGATGACTTTTTTTTCATCGAGATATCATTAATTGAAGTTAAGTATTTTCACAGCTTCGTAACAACGTTAAAACAGCCTATATAGCATATCTGAGGGTATAAGCCCAATTTATAAGTGATCGTATTCATTCGAAAAAATCTATATATGTGTTTTTAAGGTTGCTGATTAAGAATATAAGGTCAGATTTTGAAAATTCAAAATGGCGAATCCAATAAGGTAGACCTAAAATATAGCCTCATATATGCTGTATAGGTTGTTTTAACGTTGTTACGAAACTGCGAAAATACTTAACTTCAATGAATGATATCTCGATGAAAAAAAGTCATTTTGAATCTGAAAAATGGATTTCAAAGGGAAAGACTGCTCCTTTATGATGCTCTGGCGCGTTTTTGAAAAAAAATTTATTCAAGATGTTATGTAACCTAAAAATAGCAAAAAACGGTATTTTTTGCACTTTTAGGTTAGGATATCTCGGAAACATGGCGCATAGGGAAAATTCTGAGCCCGGATTCGAATTCAGCACATCAAAATCTTTCGGGTACACTATGTCTGGTCTCTGGTTCTGAGACTTGGCAACCTGTGTAATTGCTTTCGCTTTTGCTAATGCTTTGGCATGAATAAGTATAAGTGGTGGTGTGCGAGCAAAATCAAATGCTCGCGAGTTGATCCCCATCAATGGCAATTTGATAGTATATCATGACAGTAATGAAACGTGATACATTAGAGTTGATAAACTTTCATAAAAAATATTCTTTGAAACCTTTGATTATATGTAACTTGTAAATTATATAAATAAAAAATGAATGCTCCTATTTCCATGAACAATAATTGACAATGAATATTTGAATGTTTCCTCAGCTTACCCGGAAACAACAATCAAAGTTACCAATGACGAAAAAATAGCAGAAACAGGCAACGAAGTGGCCGTTTTATCCGAGCCAATTTTACTAATTGCCGAGACGAAAAATCCAGCTCCCGGTATTTGTTTACCAGTTATCGTCGATTTTTGTCGATATCATAAGGTCAGTTTATTTACTTGAAACCTTTATAGTATTTACCATTTGAAATGATTTTGATAAAAAATACAAAAAGAAAACACTTTGTGTTACGTATGATGTATATATATTTTGAAGAAATACGCAGCGACATTCGTATACGTTTGATTAAAATTGGGCTAAATTTACTTGAAGCGTCTTTTAAATACTGTTATGGAAAAAAGAATATCTAAATGCAACATTTTAAAGTAAAGCGGGTCGCACTATTTGCTTTATTTTCTTATGAGACGTACTTACTGCCGACAGGGTTTAGTGAGTATTTTAAACGTTAAGATTAATATTTTGGAATTGAACTACGCGCAATACGCAAGGGTCGTAACTGTTACTGAATATCTGAAAATTTCCTCGGAATCGACGGAGCGGCAAACGAGTAGAATAAAGTGTACGAGTGCGCGAGCGAGAGTTGACGGCGGAGAGGGAGAAGCGTAGAAAGAATTAATCAAGAAGTTGTGGTGCGGCGTGTGTTTTTCAGATCCCCTACAACTACACCGTGTTTCCGAATTACATGGGAAATTTCCAGCAGCGCGACGCCCAGCATGAGCTCGAGCTCTACGACTCTGTTATCGATGTTCGCTGCTACGAACTGGCGGCTCTATTCCTATGCAGCGTTTTCGTGCCCAAGTGTGGACCCAAAAATGGACAGGCTGTTCGGCCCTGCAGAAATCTTTGTCTTGGCAAGCACCCTTTCTATAGATATATATATCTATCGTCTATTTGGCACATACATTCTTATTTCAAGACAAGTCACCCAAAAGAGTGTTCGTTACTAAAGCACGACAATTGAAAATGACCTCTGGCTCTAATCATATTCATAAATTTCAAATTTAATGCCAAACTGGTTTACTCATTTTAAAATGAGTTATATTTTAATAAGGAGGGGGTAGTGCATTCCAGCTGAATTTTTTTGCATATGAGTGGGCTCATTTGATGACATGGTCCCATTTCATTATTGACTTGATTCGAGTAATATTTTACGAGTGATTGCAAAATATGAATTTGAAGTGGATTTTTCTTTTGAAAAAATTAATCTTATCCTTCAACTTTCGTCTTGCAAATTATAGCATCCAGAATTTCAAGATGTAGACACGTTAAAAAGTTGCGAAAACCTATATCTTCGAAAACTTGAGTTACACAACAACTTTGAAACTCGGAATGATCCTGATTGGTACTTCGGAAATTGAAATTAAATATATAGAACATACTCTTTTTACAGAAACCAAAAGACGATGTGGCTTCTTTTTAGAAGTTTTCAATTTGGGTCTTCCTGACTATCTGGAATGTAAAATGTTCCCTGAAAGTCCAGATCCAAATCTATGCGTTGGACACCAAGAAGTTATCGATGCGGAAAAGCGGGCTGCAAAACCAGGTGAGTGTATTTCTAACATACGTTAAATACATACAAGCCAAAATGCAAACGAAACTTTCCCTGACAATGATAGCCATATTTATCGTAAGTAAATATGAAGACATGTAGTTTATATCCGAGTCGGAAAAGACCCGAAGTTTAGAAGTCCGCAATAATGAATAGAAACTAGGAAAGGGTCGATGAGAAGCGCAGAGCCGAAGTACAAGGGAAAGAATCAGCAAAATTTATTGAATACGCAAAACAATAAGAGAGGCTTCGACGCAAGGGAGTGTTGTGGAGAGCCGTAAATGACAAATAGGAAAACACAAGCTCGAGGATGAATAAGAAAGATCCGAACGTAATCGAACGTAGTGTTCCGGGCGACGCGCGCTGCGGGTAAACGGGGTTAATTGCGAGGCTCAGCGGCTTGTCGAACGTGCGGACGCGTATTGTTCGAAGGCACGACTTTCAACCAGCTTGCATTGTTTACAGCCGACGGCAGCCCGGCTCGTTCACGCGGGCATTGTCGGTATCAGCAGCGCCGGCGAATTTGCCCTCGACAGGACCTACGCTTCCTCACTCGGATCTCGCAGAGAGAACGACGTGGGCGCGCTCTCTGACTCGAATTTCATCGATCGCGCTCTCGAAAGGTTTGGCGTCCGCCTCTGACGAATGCCGCTGGCGCTTAACTTTAACAGCCTCGGATAATGGCCGATTCTCCGAGTGCGTGGATCACTAGCGAGGACGTGGCTGACAAATTATTGCCGTTAATGGGCCACAGCAAACGGTCCTCGCGACTGCTTTCCTACTCGGCCACCGAGTTGCGGATGACATTTTCAGGCCGGCTTCTACTATTGCGTTGCACTTTCACCACAACTCGCACGCTATCACAGTAAATAACCATTTCAACTACGGAATAAATCCAATTTCGTTGGCTCTTGCATAATCTAATTTTAACTAGTGTACCGCATTCTCTATTACGTAATCGCGCCAGTGAATTTCAGTCCAATGGTTGCGTATTGATTTTCTAGATTCAAAGGCCGATATATAGGCAGTATTAAAAACGTTAATGGATATGTCGTTGATACATCAATAATAGAATTAGCTGAAACTCGTCACACGTATATATTTTGAGGGGGTACAGCATGGAGCCTTAATCCATACGCTTAATTTTCGCTTATTAAATCCAGCACTTTCTCCGATGGCGCCCTATTATCTTGATTTAACGAGGTAACAACAATAATTTGCTTTTTCATCGCTACCTTTTTTCGTAGCGAACCTTAATTTCCAATACAAATAACAGTTTCATAAATCAGTGGAAGCATTGGAGGATGCTGTTTTTCGGAAAATCATACCAATTACACAACCCGACAAGAATGAGATCGGTTTAGTTGTGGCCCAATCAATTTCAGCCAAATAAAATATCACGGCATGAATGTAATATCTACGAGGCAGACAAGGTCGCTATATAGTCAACATTTCAGATGCGTAGGGGCGAATTTGAAGACGAGATGTGGCGCGTCACACCGATATTCAGGCCTATAAGGGGAGATGAGATAGGCAGACACGAGCAGCGCGTAAACGGCTGCTGCGATGCATCGATTCGCTGTCGAGCACTGCGGTTAATTAAGATTAGATTGTCAATTTGATTAAGCGAGAGACTCTGTTCAGCTGTGTGCCACTTTGCACTTAAAAAATATACCAGCTTTTATCACTCACTTATTCTTTTTTATTTCTGCGTTGTTTGCACTGATCCGATCCGATGAGACACTAGGATTTCTTATCTTAATTACGGTTCGTATTTCGTTGCTACTTATTAACCGTCGCTTTACTAATTTTTCGATAACTTACATTCCCCTTGAAAACATGTCAGTTCGCGTATGTCAATGAAAGTAACGAGTATTAGAAATTATCCTTCGTAAATGCAAATGTGACATTTGATGTAAAGACCATTGTCCTCGGCAAATCAGCGAATTGTGTTGTCAAGTTAATTTTTTTACTAGAAAATTGAATCCATATATAAAGTGCTTTTCAGCAGCTTGACGTCGAACAAAAGCTCTCGGCGGTAAAAATGTGCGCTGGCACTCAGCGAGAGAGAGAATTGAAAGTTTTTTCCAATCTTATAAAAATGACGTGATGTAGCTTTCAAACCGCCATGACAGAAGCTAAATGCTGAATGTACGTGTGTAAGCAGACAAGCAAAATCAATAGCACTTTATGAGATGCCTAGAATTATGTAATATCTTCGAATAAGCAAATGATATTAGTAATTTTTTAGGGAGTGTGGGCTGGAGGTTGGAGTAAGTTACGACTGAGCGTTAAGTGAATTGTAATGCGCATTAGCCCGTAAAATGCACTTACGCAGAAATTCCACGTCGAGGCAACGCGCGCGCGGGAGAGAAATCTCAGGCGCGAGAGAGAAACTGGGCGCCGAGCCTCGCCCAGACGGAAACGACGGAGGATAGGTCGATGCTACAAGCACGATAATACATTTCTCTGCGTTAAGCCGGAGGATTACCGCACCGCCGAATTTTTTTTTTTTTTTTTTCTTGTATTTGCCAGAGCTGTACTTTATGTAGTTCACTCTTTTAAGTTGAAAAAGATTGGAAGCGGAAGTATCGTTTGGATAGACGAATAGACGAGCTCGCGGTTAAAATACAATAGAACTGCGTGGATGCATAAATGATGTATTCACGGACAGTGTGCCCGAACGGATTCCAATGCGACGAGAAGCGCTGCATACCGTTGGACTGGCGTTGCGACGGCCACGTAGATTGCGAGGACCATACGGACGAGATCGACTGCGGCGAGTGCAAAGACAGCGAGCGCGCGGGTCTAGTGGCCATCAGCAGCAAGAAGAGTGCCGGTCCGAGCGTGAAAAACTTGCTCGCTCAAGCCTCACTGCACTGCGGGGAACGCAGGTGCATGTCCGCCAACCATATCTGCGACGGCAAGTTCGACTGTCCCTGGGCTCAGGATGAGCGTAACTGCCGTGAGTCATTCACTTGTCTCTGCCGCGATATGGGTTTACGAGGCTTCGTGCTGCTTTTCAAAACAATTGATCGGACACAAAGCTTAGTTTCCATTCTCATTGTCTTTCTTTTATTTGTGACTGGCAGTTCGACTGAGCGAAAGGAACGGAGACGTAGGCAAAGGTCGCCTCGAAGTTTACCATGCGGAGAGAGGAAAGTACATCGCCGCGTGTGTCAAATACTGGACGCGAAACACGGCTAAAGATATTTGCAAAGTTCTCGGCTACAAGTAAGTTGATTATAATTTATATGAAGCGATGCAAGTGGGGATCGTTTGCCGAATATTTTGTTATTGACGCTGGATTCTCGATTGTGCAACTACAGATCGACGAATACTTGGAATTTATTAAAGTCAGAGAGTAATCAGACGGTTGTCAAGCCTGTTCAGGAAATGTCAGCTCAGTGGCGTTTAGCTCCGAAATCCGAAGGCAATCTGCTGCAAGACTTGAAAGAGTGTTCCAATCAGAGGGATTATACGACTATTGATTTAGTTTGCACGGGATACGGTTGGTTTTCACCGCCTGCTTAACTCTCATATTTTCAACGAGATTCAAATACATGCTGCTCTTTCATTCAACAGAATGCGGCCGTAGATCGCAAAATAACAACGCAAAAGCTCGCACACGGATAATTGGTGGATCGCAGTCATCCCCGGGAGATTGGCCCTTTCTCGCAGCTATACTCGGCGGTCCCGAGCAGATTTTTTACTGCGCTGGCGTACTCATCGCGGATCAGTGGGTTCTCACGGCTTCTCACTGCGTGGGCAAGTAAGTCTTAAAGCATCATCTTTTACATCTTTTTCGCATGCCTTATTGCGCTCCTTTCTTTCGTGACTGTATCTCTGATAATCTGGAACGTTTCAGTCGCTCTGAGGTCTCGGGATGGACGATTCAATTAGGCATAACGCGGAGGAACTCCCATACTTATTTAGGAAAGAAGCTCAGAGTGAAAAGAGTCGTGCCGCACCCTAATTATAATCTCGGAGCCGCTCATGATAACGACGTTGCGCTCTTTCAGGTGAGCTGAAACGAATGATCAAGTCGAGCGTGACACGCACGCTCGTTCTTATCTCCTCTCCTCCTCTCTCTATTTATCTCTACTCGTTTGCAGCTGGAGCACCGAGTTGAATTTCACGAGCATTTACGGCCGGTTTGTCTGCCGCCGGCTAATATCGATCTGAAGCCCGCAACAGAATGCACGGTTATTGGTTGGGGCAAAAAGGAGGACACTGAAAGTTCGTACCCCCCCCCCCCCCCCTCTAATAAGTTTCATTGTCGCGCGCTAAGTAAGGACGTTGAAATCAATTTCCCGATTAATCTTATTTGTAGCGTCGGAATATGAGCCAGCTGTAAACGAGGTTAAGGTGCCTGTGCTCAGTCGAGAAGTTTGCAATTCATGGCTACTTCACAAAGAATTGAATGTCACCGACGGCATGATTTGTGCCGGCTATCCCGAGGGTGGTAAAGATGCGTGTCAGGTAGGCTATTCTTAGGAGTTAAAGGCAACTGCTTGCAATCGATAGCTTTGTGATATTGTATTGCAGGGAGACTCTGGTGGGCCTCTACTCTGTCAAGATGAAAATGACAAAGATCGATGGATCGTCGGTGGCATCGTCAGTTGGGGCATCAAGTGCGCTCATCCAAGGTTGCCCGGCGTCTACGCCTACGTGCCAAAGTACGTGCCATGGATCTTGAAGGAGATCGAGGAACATTCTACAAACGATTATGGCTAGCACCATGTCAGCCAAATCACCAAAAAGGTCTATTTTGGTAAGCACAAAGATTTCTGGGTGAGATCCAGTGAAAAAGGCCGAAAATAATTTTTGAAAAGATGCCGCAAGCTCCAAAACAAATCGTAGTCATCGCAGAGTTGATATTTTCCTACTGATGATCGAAAGTATTTTTATACGAATCAGACAAATTATTACAGAAGTGACACAAACCAGGGCAACCATTTTCTCAACGAATTGAAAATTCGCTTGATGAGTATTTTTCGATTTCGACAGCGACAATAGTAAAGCTCGCTATTGAGAGTTGCTAAATGATGACAATAAAATCAACCAACGACAAGTTACACGAAAAGGGAATACCGAGCAGAAGTTTATTTCGCGAGCAATTTCAAACATATATTCTCTGGCGATAGAACATATATAGACGTATACGCGTATCGATGTTATTCTATGTCGTAATTGACGTCGTTCTACGACAATAATCTATTTGCTACGGATCGGCACCATGATGATAATTTAGTGATAAGGGGTCAGTGATTCATTCGATGAAATAAATAGAAACATATAGTGAATGCACGGATTGAGTACGGAAACATGTAGGGATTTACAGTTATTACTGTAATATTTCAACTACCCGAAGACAACAAAAAAGACAAGACAGTACGGAATGAATTCAAAATAATGCATAAAATGCATTACCTCTGTTTTTACATCTATATAAACAATAGTTCTGATAATATGTCATACTATCAAAGCGATATTTCATTTCAAGCTAAAAAAAATAATTATTTTATAAACAAACCTGTAATTTTCTACGTGTTTCTATGCAAACGTATTTTCTTGAAAATAAAGAAAAAGCTCGTAAAAGGTCTTATCCTATTTAAATATATAGCAAAGTTCAGATATATGATTGTCCGAGGCAGTAATTTATAGGGAATTGATTACACTTTTGGTATCTATACAGAATATATGATAAATGTATCAAATACTTACAAATATAAACGGATTTTCAATAAAAATAAAAAAATTAAATAAATAAACACGCATCAGATGCGATTTAAAAATTTTTTCTACATCCTACATTTTGACGATAATAATTAACCGCAATGTACCACCAAGTGGTTTCATATATCTTTTATTAATAATCAATTTTTCAACGTTTAAAATTATTTACTTGAAAAAGAAACGCTTCAAATGAACTTTGATTTTTCACGTACTTAACAGAAAAAATCAAGCGTTCACGCGTTGAAATTTGACAATGATTGACAAATAACTTGCAATGCATAAAATGCATGTTTTTTCGTGATCGAATAGTAGATATTTTTTGAAATACCACAAACAGTTCTAATAAAATCAAGCGCGTTCAGAAAATATTACATTATCATAAATAATGACATAAGATGAGTGTTCTAGCATTAATAATTATATAGCAGTTAGAATATTAAAATATACAATATAAAATAAAAATGATGGTTTTAGAATAATAATACTGTAGAGTTTTAATGCTCAGAGAAAAAAGTTGACCATTTGAAAATGTACTTATAAAAATAATAAAAAATTATATATTGATATAAATCATTAGGTTTTTTATATATGAGAATCAAGAAATGTTAGTCAGAGAAATTTGTGTAGTTTGGAAAGGAATATACACATAATTTGATAACTATTTTTTCTGAGCATCACTATTACTTATAAGCAAAAGTTGCTTGATCAACTTGACAGTATCGTGGGATTTTATTAGTCAACTAGCTATGTAATTTAGACATACATAAATATAATTAGGCATGTTGACTGAATTCTAGGGATACCGATTTGGATAAAATAATTAATTGAAAATTATTGCACTTTTTTGATCAGCACTTTGAGACGTAGTTTTTTAAATTGGATATATATTTCATGGGTAAATAATCTGTTACTCAAGAGCCTTAAGCACTTTTACTAGACTAATAAAGTATTTTAGAAGTGCTGCCATATATCCGTAACAGATGTTGTTATTAATATTTTAATTAAGTCTATTAATTGCTACATAATCTTATTTTACTTTGAAACGTAAATGTCATGAAAAACACTATGTTTGATTTATGCGGTCTTTATTCATGGATTCATTATAATATATAATGCTACTATACAAGTTTCAAATATCTTTATCATTTTTGAGAAAAGAATTATTATTATTTTATTAATAATATTAATTTTTGAGCGAATATAAATGGCTACATTTATTTCATATCGTGAGTTGAACAATTATTTAAAGATCTAATATCTTCTATTGTTGCAGCTTATATGAATGTAACTTTGAATTAATTTGTAAAAAAAGTCTATCAATTGGAAGATGATATTAATGTTAATCCGCCAACATTTAAACATTAAAGAAATCTATAAACATATGCATAACATGACCTTTATGGGAGTTATTAGTACAAACTATTTTGTTGGAAGTCATGATAAATCGTTTAAAAATGCTTGCCATGCTGAAGCAACAATGAACCTCCTTAGTATCCAGACAACGTTTAATGAATAAAAAATGATAATGGTAAATAAATATCTGACAATACTGTGTGAGCAGACAATAATTAATTATAAGAAATGTTCCAAGAAATGGACAATAAAACGTAGTATAAGACTACATTAATGTAGATGTAAAACAATAAATATATCAAAAAACTTAGTTAATAAAAATCTTGATGATACTGCGACGAAAATTGCAAAATATTAAAAAAATTCTATTAAATTGTATATTAATTTTTTCGAAAATTTATAGAAAAATTCATTACATAAAGAAGAATATTCCAGATGTATGACGCAGAATCTCTAAGAAAATTATTGGTAAATGTAAATTTAACATACGTAATTTGATATGCATACTATATTTGTATAAAATAAATAGTTTGCTTCTGTGTGAAATTATTGATGTTTATATAGCTGGTACGAAGTATTTTATAGTATGGATATTTATAAATGAACATATTACAATGTACAGATTTATAAACTAAAGAAAAATGAAGAAAAATATTGTTTGTCATAACCCATGTGGTATAAAAACTATTCTAATAATTGTGTAAATGAAAAACTTTGCCATTTTGTTACGAACATATACACACTCAATTAGAAATGTAATAGGAAATGTATCAAACTCCAAGAATTAATTTTATTTTTATTAAAATTTATTTTATCGGACATACTGTCATTAAAATCTACGCACAAAGCTTAAATTAATTTAGTAAGAGAAACTTGTTTAAAAGACATAATTGTAAAAATATATTCACTCCTGTGAAGTCAATGTTAAATAGTTGAACGTTCATTACCGTAATTTTAAGCTATAAAATATTTTGTATTTGTTCGAAAAAAGATTACAAAAATAGGTTACTGTAGCAAATTCTATTAAAATAAAATTGTAGAATTTGATAGCTATAGATATAATTTTTATAATAAACTTCATATCTTATGACAATTTTAAACTAAATATTTATCCAAGGAAATGTTCAACTTCTAATTTTTAATTTAATAAAATCTTTCTTATAATTAAATTAGAATTTTGTTGTTTTGTACAAATTAAGAATGAGAGTCTTACTTTATCTCAGAAAACGTTGGTAATGAACAAATAGTCGTTGAAGTACGTACGTATTGAAAAAATACAACTTTACAATTGTCATAAAAAATGAACTATATTTCCTATTACTATACGCACCTTTTAAATGAGTTTAGAACAACTATTTGCCTAATGATGTTTGATTAGTGATGAAATATTTATTTGCATGTTATGAAGTATAGGTCAATAATAAATAAAGCGGGTGAATGGTATTATCTGAAAATTATATTTTATCAACAAAGAATATGAGAACTTTTTATTTATATAAGTATACAATATCTAATAATTGATATTAGTATCACATTATTAATAATACTTTTTTATGAGAAAAATTAATGTTGAAAAATTAATAGCATATATCTGTAAAGTTAAAAAATTATTGATAAAGTTTCAATAGTTTTCCAGAAAGTTAATAGAAGTTTTTTCTAAAGTCAATTTTGAAGACTATATTTAATTAAAGCATAACCTATTAATAGTTAATAAAAACACTAGTAACAGTGATTTTACTACTTGAATCTAGGCAACATTATGTTACGAATACGTATAAATTTTTTTTTTCTGTTTAACGCACATACTCAGGACTTTTACTTTTATAAAGAAAATATTTGTTATAAAAGTTTTCAGTTAAATAATACTGAATATATAAAATAATGAAGGTTCTGCTGCTGAATGAACAGTGATGTTTATATATGAGGTAATTTACAAGAAATACAACAATTATATGAAAATTTTTGGTTTTTAAAACATTTATTTAAAATTTCAAACTACTTTAGGTATACAAAATAATTAAAACAAAAAATTAATTTTTAAAAAGTATTTCCATTTAGTCTTATTGTATATAGTGTGTCATTTCGAACATATAATATTTAGTTATTATTTAAAATATGGAGTGTTATTGACTACGAATAGAGCTATTTAGCACAATTACAAATGAATATAGATGTACATCTATGAACGTTAAAAAGAAATTTTTTAGAAACTTCATTGCTGGAAAAAACTATTTTATGCATTTTCTACAATTTTTTTGCTCGAGGTTTTATTTTTGAAGTTTTGATCTACTACAATTTCCACATTTTTTTACAATGACTATGAAGTTATAAAGTATAAGGCAACTGAATGTGATTATTTGATCTGTGCTCAGCATGATGCTTAATCGTACAATCAATGGTCGATATTATTGATATACATATATAGAATGTACTTTAATATTACCAAACGTTATATATTAAGAATAACATTAGACACTGTCACATTCTATATACACAATTAAAAGATTATGTCTGGCATTACATATTCTATTTGAATGGAACTAGCTATATACTTGTTTCTATAATGGTTAAAGAAAGAACACAAATCAGTTACAGGACATACATAATTGAAAAAATGTGTTTCACATTTGCGCTATGCGGCGTTAACATTTAGATAGCTGCTAGTTCTATAAAATAAGATGAAAAAATTGAATTTATCTTCTTATTAACAATAATGTCATTAGAAAATTTTTAGAACCGTCATTGGTTTCTATTGCTAACGAAGAATTGTTTTATGAAAGTGATCAAGAATAATGCCACTTATGCTTTATTCAAGTAAATCTTCTTTAAAATTCATTACGAAAGGACAAAAAAAAATCAACAGGATTGGAAATGAACTACTCCAATGATAATTACAAAAACATTATGTAGCTTAGCTGTTATTATATATTTTATTTCAAACAACATTTAATAAGAACATGTTGTATTTCTTCAATTGAGATATTTTGCTTCTTTCCAAAATATTCGTGACATCTTAAGAAAAGTAAGTTTTATTTAACGTTCACAGGATAAAAAATTTTTTTTTAATAATTCCCGTATATAAAAAAGGAATTGTTTTATAATAACTTCATGTGTGAAATCAAGTAAAGCCGCCATGTCAATTTTTATAAAGTGCATGTTGATCGTTTTATCCTGGGAAACTACAGCTATAATCTTATTATTAGACATGAGCTCTCAAACAGCGCTTATATCTTGCAAGAAAAACAATCATACGTAGTTATGCTATGCTTACACTGCCTTCCTCCTTGAGAACACGTAGATGTAGAGTATTACAACAACTCTCTGACCACTAACGCAAAACGGAGAAATTAAAACGTATATGTATGCGCTATTATACGTAAAAATGATTAAAAATCAGTATTTAATAAGTGTCAATATCATAGCGTAATATAAAATTTCGGAAAATACATACATGTATGAGACATTTGATTCTCGCAGGGCGAGAATGTACAAATTGGAATAGTTGCATTTAATAGAGGATATATAAACTAAAGGATATGAAAGACTTGTACACTAGAGTAAAAAAAACGTTGTCAAAAGAAAATGTAACTTACAGTTGGACATGTGATGCCTGGTTATCTTGAGTCCTGTATCATTGATAAATTTTTATTTTATGTACAGTGAATATAACGATAACTTGCGTACATTATTTTTACTTTATTTGCATGATTTTGAATACATAATTAGTTATATTTATTAACTTTTAAACTTTGCAAAGATTAATGATATATATATTTTTATTAAAGAAACCATTACTGCAATCAAATATAAGTTACTGTACAAAGTATAAGATACCGGCGATTCTTATTTTCTAAGTACAAATTGTTTACAACAAATGGATTACAAAGTGATATATATTGATAAAAATATATTTATAGATAATGGATGTTGGAAAATAAATTATGTATTGCAAAGTCTGCCTAAATTATCTGTTGATTTGACCAGTTATCCTATCCTATAATATTTTTATTTCTGTATAGTTTTAGTTAGTTTTAAATAAAATATGTTTAAGTCACAATTCATAGCATACACATTTATACAAAAAAGTTTGTAAACTAATTTAAAAAGCAAAGTGTACTACTAAGAGTACAAGTATAATTGATACAGATGAGGAGTAGGAACAATATAATGAATAGTTGCACTTATTTTTATTTAATTACTCATTTATTAATTTTTTTTTGTGCCAGATTGACATTAAAATTAATCAAATAGGAATATTTAAAGAATGGACAATATAAATGTAGAATTTAAGACTATTAAAAATGTCACATTTGTAACCTCTATAATGGAACCATATCCATTTCAAACAATATTTAAATAGTTTTTCTTTATAAAAATATAATTTTCTATACTCAATAATCTTATTGTATTCGTATTATCATTATCTATTATATCTATTATTATCTTTTTTTAATAAATAAAAAACCTGATGAGATTAGTAAATCTACTGACGGAATATTATAAAATTGAAAACTAGTGATTTTATCATTGAAAATAATCCTCCACTCTTATGCATATTATAATTATAAATTATATTGTTATAACACTAGATATTTGACATTTGTATAATATAAACGATAGCCTTACTTTTAGTTATATTATTGCTTAATTATTCTCAAGAAATTTTGTATATTCAGCACAAATGGAATATTGGCTTGTCGATCCGATATTGTATGATAAAAATCTGTCTAGGTTGACTTTTGCAGGATATTTTTAAACTTTGCGGTCATTATGTACTAAATAAATATTAATTTGAACAATCGTACCCGTTGATAAGAAATTGTTAGTAAGAGTAGTGACTTAATCGATTCATTTGGCATCGAATGGAATCTAAAAAAATGATATGCATTTTATTGATCTTTTGATGTTTCCTCGCGCTAGATACTTATTAAATCAATCTTGATCTAAGCAACAACTTAATACTAAGCCAATAGGGTGACCTTAAATTAATTCTTTCACTAATCTTTCTAGAGAATTCAATTCAGTTAATTGATTAACACTTACAATTTCAGTTTGATTATAAAATATTTTTTTAAGTTCATTTTATATTTTATCGTGAATTTGAGCATTATAGCTGATAGTAAATAAAGTCCAATTATCAACAAAGAGTTTCAGTAGTCAAAAAATGAGTAATACAACTAAAACGCATGTTCTTACTCTCACGGACAGTAGCAAAATAGCCGAGAGTCAGATCAGTGTCGTGAAAAATGTCTATCATCTCCCTACATTGAGAAGAAAAGCTGTAATTAGTCGAGATCGTTAATTCAGATGTCTGGTGCGTCCTCTGATTGTCTTTAACAGTGTAGTTCATCACCTTTTTTTATCCATCACGCGGTCTGTCAATATGTATCATCTTTCATGTAACGATCACACCTACCCTGGGGTCCGTCGGCGATGAGAGCGGAAGTCAGTTTACATGAGCTATCCTTTTATTGGTCTACTCTTAGGATGGCATCAGAGGTGCACTTTTCAATACTTACTAGTCCTCCTACCTCCAGTTTGAATTTCGGTTTGGATCACGGTGCTTTTCCGAGTTCTATCTCTTAAATGTTAGTTCATCCTTGAATGATTACAGTGTAAACTTAAATGTCAGCCACTGTCAACCGAAAGCCGTTTGATGTTTCTATTTGTCATACGCACTCTATCTATCATGTTGTCAATCTCAGTCGCTTCTACTATCGAGCTTATAAAACAATATGGTCGTTAAGAAAAAAACCAAATCTCCTTTATAGCCAAATTCTAGTCTTAACCTTGATTGGTCAATAAAGTTCAGGACGAACTCTGCTCTCGGTGAAGTCACCAGTCAGATCGCCTCTTCCTTTCTTCCATGACCCGTAGGGCCTATTGGAGTCGTTGAAGTTCCATTAAATTATGATCCTCGTCTTAATCGGACTTCAATTTTCGGAAACGGATGATGGTATGTCGTTGTAGCTACTTTCGTTGGTTTATAGTATGCTGCGGGTGTCCCCATACCCCCTGCAACCATCCGACTCTTTTACATGAGAGCTGGAGCTTTTTCTGTACCTCTCTCTTCTGTCACCTGGCGCACGCGCGACTTCTGTGGGCGTCGTCGACCCGAGTTTATTTAACTATGGTCCCTGTAGTTGGACAAAGAGGTTTACTGCTGCACGAGCAAGCATTCGTATTTTTCTAATGTATTTTCTTTTATTTTTATTTTATTGTAAATAAAATGCCAATACATCGCATGTAAGAGGCCGCACTGAAAATGCAGGTGGGCGGACAGGACGAGCCGCGGAATGATGACATTACGGCAAATTGAACACTGCGTGGACTAGTGCCGAGCTAGCGATTGTCTTGTTCGGCATCGCGTCGACGGCGGGAAGACAATCTTCACACACCGGTCTCAGAGGACGAATTTTTCTCGGATGAAGGAAGCGGTGCCACAGCAATAGGGGCTTCTGGATTGTCGGATCGGAAGATGAGTACCCCAGCCATATCGCGCGAAGTTGGAGAAGCAATGAAGAATTGGGAGCAATGAAGGAGCTGGTTCGGAATGTATTGAGAAATTGTATTCGAAAAAATCACGCCGTGAAAATTGAGGAGGCAGTACTGCTTATCAGGTCGTAGTCTGGTCGTCCGGAGAAACCAAAGGGGAAGGATAGGCTGAGAAATCCGTCGACGAGTCAGTGGGATGATAGCCAGAGCGAGTTGTCAGACTCAGATATCTATGAATTGGACACGGCTAGGCCGGCAAGTCGCAGACCGAGGAGCCTGAGGACCCATGGGCACTCAGATTTGCGTCCTTGAAGACGTTATATCGGTGATATACCGGTAGACGCGGTGAAGGCTTTTCGCGTTTGATTGCTGAAGTTTTCGGATGAAGGGGGAGCGGACAAGGATGGCTTAATGAATGATGTAGTGAAGTCAGGATTTTTACAACTTAGAGGCTGACGAAATACTTAAGGCGATGGATATCGCGTTCACGGGAAAAGCTGCGCTCTGGTATAGGAATAACAAATTCAATGGGCGAATTCTTGAAGAATTTTTCGGCGGTCAGTTGCCAAGCTTGCGGAACGATAGGGTTTGTGCTTTAGAACTGCCTCACGTGCACGAGCAACATCGTGCAGCAGGGAAACTCGCAGGCGGGGGCCAAAACTCGCTCGTCAACCCCTGCTTAAGTTCGCTTGGGCGAGCATTGCTGGCGCTTGAGGTACACTGAAACAGGGTGGCTCGCGCGATGTTGGCCGAATCTGGAAAAAGAAACGACCGAAAAGAGGTCGAGCCCAGCGACGCTGCGTTAGTACTCGTCGTGAGAAGAAAGACGCGTGTAATTGGAGGCGCATATTCAGAGGTACCTGGTATTAGAGCAAAGGAGTTTTAGAATAGTTTGTCGCGTCGTTACGAACCATTGGAAATGTCGGATATCGATGACGTTGAATCTTTGAAGGTGGTAGCAGGGACAGAGATGAGTAAAATACTAGAGCTCGTTAGGGAAAAGGAGGATAACACGGTCAAGAGTCTAAAGTCCGATAGAGCGCAGGTTGAGCGCGTGGTCGAAGAGTCACCACGAAGCTCCCGGCTGCTCTCGGAAACGCGTGTAGAGAATGAGCGATCTGAACGAACACGGGACTTTGATGGGACTTTGTGGGATGGGGGATCATTCGGACCTTATAAATATCCCATCATCTGAATGTACCATTTTATGTAGAATTCAAACATGCGACGAAAAATGAGGGGTCCCATTTAAAAAGTAAGATTGACCTCGAAATGACTTTGGGGGTAGAGTGGAGGTCATTTGGACCCCACACATATTACATGATTTGAACGTAAAATTTCCCGCTCTATCCGAATCCAAGATAAAAAATAGGGAGTTTCATTTAAAAAAACAAAGTTGACCTTTAAATAACCTTGAAAATCATTCTCAAGGTGAACACTGATCTGACAAGTAGATGACCCCCACTGTCCTAAACAACTTTTGTATGAACAATTTTTTCGTACAACGTGAATGCGAACTTTTCGAGATATTCAGGTCCGTCATTTAAAATGGGATACCCTGTATATTTGTATATACATGTACATTACAATGCCGGTAGAGTAGGAATTCTAGGATTCATATATATTCGATCATGGCAATTATAATATGCGGGAACATATATTCCTTACAATATTTATCATTCGCTGGTAAATGGAACTCTAATTTTTCATCTGCAGTTTAAAACATTAACGTGTATGAACGTATATGCGTTAATATATATATAATTATAGATATAACGTTTTATATAAAGTATCAAACGTAACGTTAAAAATATATTATGCGTTTAAATATTTTATTAGGCTTGATAGTTGAAGTTATATTTTATTGTTTATAATTAGGTTAAAAACCTGAACTTGAATGAACAATTGTTTAAAATTACGCTAAATTGTACAAAAAATATATTATTTGGACAATATGGTTTATATAGGTGTTTACAAATGATATAAATTGCTGATACGTATATAATTGATTATAATCACTTGTCGATTGAAAAATTTAATTTTTAATTTGTAGAGAAAAATAAGTCTACATGAAACATTTTTTTTTATGTATTGAAAGGAACATATATTTTGTAAGCAATGCGAAATATATTTAATAGTTTGATAATAGTTTGGTTATTTTTAGCACACACGTTTATTTTATTTAAATTTTCCATGCATGATTAATATCATGTTTTTATGGAGTCTATATCAGCGTGAACGTGGACAAAGAAAATATTTTATAATTATCAGTTTGATAAAATTATAATGGCAAATCTGTTAGAAAGCTCAAAACTTTTTCCATTTATAGTTGCCAAAGTAAAACAATGTCGGAATAATTAAAAAGTAAAAAAAGCTTTAATGAAAACCTTTGCACCCCACCAGTTTTAATTAGAACAAACATGATTATAACTTTCAC